CGAACCCGCGGGCTCCGGCAATCCACTCACCTCAGCCTCCCAAAGGCGCGGGATTACAGGCTGAGCCACTGAGCCTGGCCTGTATCCCACATTTTAAAAACAAAATAAAAGCCAGGCTTGGTGGCTTAGCCTGTAATCCCCACACTTTGGAAGCCCGCAGGTTTGAGACCTGCCTGGACAACTTGAAGAGACCTCATCTCTAGAGTAAATCAAAAATTAGCCGGGAGTGGTAGCGCATGCCTATAGTTCCGGTTACTTCGAAGGCTGAGGCGGAAGGATTGCCAGAGCCCAGCAGGTCGAGGCTGCGGTGGCTGCAAGTATGCACTGCACTCCAGCCTGGGTAATGGAGTGAGACTCCAACTCAAAAATAAATAAATAAATAAATAATCAGTCAGGCACGGTAGTGTGCACCTATAGTTCTGGCTACTTGGAAGGCTGAGGCAGAAGAATCGTCAGAGCCCAAGAAGTCGACACTGAGGTGGCTGTGAGTATGCCACTGCACGGCAGCCTGGGCGACAGAGTGAGACTTCAACTCAAAAAAAAAAGGCTGGGTGTCGTGGCTCATTCCCACAATCCTAGCACTTTAGGAGGCCTGCCTGAGCCCACAGGTTTGAAACCAGCCTGGGCAACTTGGTGAGACCTCATCTCTACAATAAAATAAAAAAATTAGCCGGGTGTGGTAGCGTGCGCCTGTAGTTCCAGCTACTTGGAAGGCTGAGGCAGAAGGATCGCCGGAGCCCAGAGGTCAAGGCTGCGGTGGCCAGGAGCGGCCACTGCACTCCAGTCTGGGTGACAGAGTGAGACTCCAACTCAAAAAAAAAAAAAAAAAAAAAAAAAGAAAACAAACATTCCCTTTCTTTTTTTTTTTTTTTTGAGAAAGCAGGATTTACTGAAAGGACAGAAAAGCTCCCACGGTGAGAGGGAACCTGAGGGGGTTGTCTAAACACTCCCTTTCAAACTACTTAGATGGGCTTTCTAAATTAGTACTTCCTGAACAGCTGACCACATTGAGAATACTCAACGGAAATGAATAAAATTATTCTACTCAGAAAATATAACTCTAGACTAGACACTGTAGTTCACACCTGTAATCCCAGCACTTTGGGAAGTCAAGGTAGAAGAATCACTTGAGCCCAGGAATTCAAAACCAGCCTGGGCAACATAGTGAGACCCTGTCTCTACAAAAAAAAAAAAAAAAATTAGCTGGGTGTGGTGGCACACACCTGTAGTCCCAGCTACTCGGGACTGAGACAGAAGGACCGCCTAAGACCAGGAGGTAGAGGCTGTGATGAGTCATGATTGTCCCACCACACTCCAGACTAGATGACAGAAAGAGAACCCGACTCACATAAAAAAAAAAAGAAAGAGAGAAAACATAATCCCATTCTATGGCCATACCACCCTAAACATGCCAAATCAGAAGCTAAGCAGGGTTGGACACGGTTAATGCTTGGATAGGAGAAAATATAACCTTAAATGACTTATAAACAGCAGAAGTCAAGGTAATAAAGAAAAAAAATGCTATTCCAAGAATGCAAGCCCAGCCGGGCTCAGTGGCTTAGCCTGTAATCCCGTGCCTTTAGGAGGCTGAGGTGAGTGAATTGCCTGAGCCCGCGGGTCTGAGACCCGCCTGGGCAACTTGGTGAGACCTCATCTCTACAATAAATCAAAAATGAGCCGGGCGTGGTAGCACACACCTGTAGTTCCAGCTACTTGGAAGGCTGAGGCGGAAGGATCGCCGGAGCCCAGCAGGTCGAGGCTGCCGGCGCCGGGAGCAGCCACTGCACTCCAGTCTGGGCAACAGAGTGAGACTCCAACTCAAAAAAAGAATGAAAGCCCAATGGTCAAGTCTAGAAAGTCATTACCCCTCCCACCATCTTTTTTTTTTTTTCCTTTTTTTTAAAATGTGGAGTTAAGGCCTCACTATGTTGCTCACTCTGGTCTTAAACTTCTGGGCTCAAGCAATCTTCCTGCCCTCAACCTCCCAAAGTGCTGAAATTACTGGAGTGAGCCACCACTCCTGGCTACCCTCTCCCACTATCTAAAGTACTTTTACATAAACTGTCAGTAGGAAGTGTTAAAAAACAGACATTAGCAAGCAAAAATTTTTAAAAACTAAACTAAACCTTTAAAGATCATGAGATATAGAAATATGAGACTTTGTAATGGCAATGTTTTTATGTTTCTACAACTCCTAAGGTGATCATGGGTTAAGTGAAGAGCAGAACCTTAGTAAGATATAATTAGGACAGTTACTCACTTCTGGGTTTCTCTTTCTTAGGTATAAAACCAAGCAGGCCAGGCACAGTGGCTCACGCCTGTAATCCCAACACTTTGGGAGGCTAAGGCTGGAGGATCAATTGAGCCCAGGAGTTTGAGACCAGCCTCGGCAACATAGGGAGACCATGCCTCTAAAAAAAATCAGCCAGGCGTGCTGGTGCACACCTATAGTCCCAGCTACTCTGGAGGCTGGGTGACAGAATAAGACCCAGACTTAATTTAAAAAAAAAAAAAAAAAAAAAAAAAAAGCAAACTCTTAAATACCTTCTCATTTTTGAGGTGATGAATATGCTAATAACCTGATTTGATCATTACAAAGTTTACAAATAATGAAACATCACATATTACCCCATTAACATGTACAACTGCCAATTAAAAAGTATAAAACTTTTTTAAAAATCTATAAACACAAAATTTTGCAAAACAGTTATTCAAGTACAATCACCTCATTACTCCTGAGGTTTAGGCCATGTACCTATTAATATCCATTTTCTCTTCTCTAACTGGTCTGAGTATTTCTCAACCCACCTCCCACACTTCCGTGTCCAAGCAATTTCCTATCTTCTCCTCTATACTCTCTCACATGTAGAATTTGGTGTTCAAAATTTTTCCAAACTACAGGGCTTCTAGAAAAGAGTCATCCTACCTTGAAGCAAGCTGATAACGAACCACAACACTTTGATACTGTTACTGCTCACAAATGACTAAGCTGTCTCCAAACCTCTTAAGTTATTAATCTATTAACAGTAAGCAGCACTACATTCCACATACTAACTACACAAAATATTCAAAAGCCTTATGTGGAGTTACAACTTACTTTAGGGGATCTTCTTGATCACTGTCTATGCTATCAGCTTCACTGTCAGGGTCACCTCTCCATGTCTGATCCACAGTAATGGGTTCCTGCTCCCCATCACTCCAGCTGTCTTCATCTGAGGCAGGGAAGGGAGAGTAGCCATTAAGACTTCCTACCTCTGTAACTCCACCACACAAAACTAGATTATTTAACATATCAATCTAAACCTTAAAATTAAAAAAACCTAGTACAAAGGCACTAGAGCAAAATAAAAACATGTTTAAAAAAAAACCCAGGTAAAGTTACTTATAGTATAAATGAGTTAACCATGCCCTCTCAAAAGGAAAGAAAAGCCAACTTAAAATCACTGTTTCCTGAATTACTTTACCTAACAAAGAAGCTGAGCATAAAAACAGCAATTTAAAAAAAAAAAAAGGTCACCCAAGCAAAACATCACTTTCAAATTCAAAAGAATTGGTGAACAAGGCAGCAGTCCTAGAATTCTCACCAAATTTTCAATGAATTAACAATAATATTGCCAAATGTGTTCAAGGCACTGTGCTAAACCAAAAAGTTCCATCTTAACTATCGTCCTCCTTTTTCATTCTAGGAGAGAAGATCCTTACCTAGTATTCGGCTGGCTTCACTGCGGCTACTTTCTAGAGTCTGAGACCCCAGCTCAGTCTTTGCATATGAACTCAGCTGGCACAAGAGTGTTTCACCCATAGGCCCAGGGTTGGTCTTCTTCATTTGAGCATGCAGTGCCAGGGCATTCCTACGGGCGTGTTCAGCACAGAAGGACACTCTAAAGAGACAAAGGATTAATATTTTATAGGTCCCTCTTGAAAGGAGTCTATGATTTTTATAGTCCCTAATCTTTAGATCAGTTTTAGGGAATTAAAATGACTATTAAATTCATTTCTAAAAAGATCAGTGAATTGAAGAAATTTAACTGACCCAAGATCAACCCATTCAATGTTATTAAAGGAAAATGCAGGCAGTATCATCTAGTGCTCTAGTCATCAAGTAAAACATTCCAACTATAAAAATGTTGACATCATCTCAAAACAAATCAGGGATACATTTTTATCTTTCAAAATTGGTTCCTGAAGGCAATTCAGCATTTGTTTTTTGAGTTGGTAGTCTCACTCTGTCACCCAGACTGGAGTGCAGTGGCCGCTCCCGGCCACGGCAGCCTCGACGTGCTGGACTCCGACGATCCTTCCGCCTCAGCCTTCCAAGTAGCTGGAACTACAGGCGCACGCTACCATGCCCGGCTAATTTTTTATTTGTTGTAGAGATGAGGTCTCGCCAAGTTGCCCAGGCGGGTCTCCAACCCGCAGGCTCAGGCAATCTACTCACCTCAGCCTCCCAAAGGCGCGGGATTACAGGCTGAGCCACCGAGCCTGGCTAACATTTTTATTTTTTGAGTTGGAGTCTCACTGTGTCACCCAGGCTGGGGCGCAGCGGCACACTCACAGCCACCACAGCCTCGACCTGCTGGGCTCAGGTGATCCTTCCACCTCATCCTTCCAAATAGCTGGAACTACAGGTGCTTGCCAACATACCCGGCTAATTTTTTAATTTATTGTAGAGATGAGGGCTCACCAAGTTGCCCAAGCTGGTCTCGAATCCCTGGGCTCAGGCAATCCTCTCACCTCGGCCTTCCAAAGTGCTGGGATTATAGGCGTGAGCCACCGCGCCTAGCCCCAACTCAACATTTTAATTATCAATCCACTGTAGATAATAAGATATGGAACACAATTTTTTTGTTTTACTTGGAGTCTCACTCTGTCCCCGAGGCTGGAGTGCAGTGGCATGTTCATGGCCACCACAGCCCCGAACTGTTGGGAAACACAATTTTAAAACTACAAGATACAACTTGGAATGCTGAAGAGGAAGGATCACCAGAGCCCAGCAGGTCGAGGATGCGGTGGCTCTTAGCGTGCCACTGCACTCCAGCCTAGGCGACAAAGTGAGACTCCAACTCAAAAAAAAGAAGAAAAAGATATATACAAAATAATCTAGTCATGTTTCTGCATGGGTATCTTTGTATATACGGCAAAAGCTATGAAGCCTCTTCCAGAAGAATAAACCCATATAAAATTTCGCCTGTTATTTAACAAAGCTCCTGGACAGCCAAAAGAGCCACGCACCCCTGCGTTAATAATTTAGAATATGCCTTCGTATTACAGATAAGGGAAAATATCCAAAGAGATGAACTAAACGAAAGGCGTTCTTGGAGCCTTCACCATTTTAATTTTTTTTTTCCAAAGGTACATCCATAACCCCAATTTTACAAGCATGTGACCTAAAACGCAGAAGATATGCTCAAGCCCACATCATATCACATACCCCCTCGCTTTAAGACAAACCACACGTGTATCTATGCATATATACCCATCTTTCTTCTCAAGCTTTGGGGCAGCACTGGGACATCTTTTTCCATTTTTCGATGATATGTAACTACACTGCTTGAAGGGTGCATTCTTGTCTTCAAGGATATGTTTAATGCAAAATTCTTGCCCCTCGAGACGAGGTTGGGAGCATGGACGATGAGTGAATGAACAAGACAGCGGCTCCTGCGACCTGGGCACTGGAGTGATCCTCCCCCGATTGGTTGGCAAGACGTGAATCCGAATCCTGTTCATACCAAAACCTGCGGGGTCAAACGAAAGATCAAAAACCCCTTACCCTTTTCGAAAACTCCGGTTCTACAATATCCGGACAGACCGCGGATAGCTAGCTTCCTAGAGGATCGGCTGAAGTCGACACCGGAGGTTACGCTCCGTAACTCCACGCCGCCCTCCCCTAAGTTTCCACAGACATTTGTCACCTTGCCTCCCCTAAACTTCTCCCTCCATGGCCGGCCCCACCCCGACCCCCACCCTGCCGAAAGTATTTTTGGGACTCGCATGGCCGCAGCACCAGGGAAGCGAGAGCGCAGGCCCCACGCGGCAGCCACGCCGCAACAGCGCGCTCCGCCCCCGCCTCCCTGCACGCCGCCTTTGTCCTGGCCCGCCCTAGAGCCCGTGGCGGGGCCCGGCCCGGCCTCGGCTGCCCGTGCGAGCGCCATTTTGTCCTACGGCTCCGTTCTCCCGAGAACCAGACTCCCGGAAGCCTATAGGAAGGCGACTGACTCCAACACTGCTTGAGGGAGAGCAGCAGCTCCCAGCCGATAGAAAGGGCGAAGTAGCAGCCTAACTGCAAGAGCCAAGAGCAAGCTGCGCCGCCATCTTACCTCGGGCACCACGTTCCGCAGTGCCGCTTGCCTTCCTCTGGTCGCGCCAGCCGTTCCTAACTCGGCCCAGCTCCTTTCCGGGCTCCTAACTGCTAATTGGCTACTGTTCCTCTGACTGTGCCGCCATTGGCCAAAGCCCGCCGCCTATCATGTCTGGGAGGGAGGAGTGCTGAGAAAAGGAGTGGCTGGAATGGCTAAGACTAACTGTCCGCCCGCAGCTCCATCCCGAGGAGAGTGAGCTGGAGAGCTGTGGGTGGGTGGGTGGAAGGGGGGCAAAGAGGGGTGCGGGGGACAGGAACGAGGGGAAGGAGACGGGAAGAGGGGAGTCGCCAGTGACCGCTCTTCTTCCGCCTCACCGCGTGGCTGGCTTTCCAGCCCCTTTGACCCTCCGTCTGTGGCCCTGGGCTGCGGCTTCCTCACTACCCGTACGCAATGGCTATAAAATCAGAGGCTGGAGGATCACTATACATTCGATTCTTAGTTTACATATGAAAAGGTTTTAGTTTTCTTTAGTTCAATACATTTATTGAACATTTGGCGTACAGCACCTTGAGAGATGTTTTTTGACTGTTTACTATGAGTCTGGGGAATTACAGATACACATTCATTTCATTTTTCAGGGCAACCCTAAAAGGTATGCGCTGTTATCTCCATTTTACAGATAAGAGGACAGAGGAATAGAATGGGCCCATAGCTAACAGATGGGAGAGGGAGACGAATTTGAACCCAGCACTCATGTTTGCTTATTTTGGTCTGTTTGTTTTTGAGTGGGAGTCTCATTCTGTCGCCCAGGCTGGAGTGCAGTGGCACGCTCACAGCCACTGCAGCCTCAACCTGCTGGGCTCAGGTGATCCTTCCACCTCAGCCTTCCAAGTAGCTGCAGCCCTCATCTTTTATCCTTCATCGCCTCTCATATTGTAAAGAGCATTTGACTGAGAATTCTGCTTTAAAGCTGCTTCTCAAAAACTGTGTGCCCTATATCCCTAAAATTCTCTACAAAGTCCACACTAAGTAATGCAAGTATTATTATCCATGACTAATGGAAAACGAGCAGGTATGCATGAATCACAGTGGAGGTGAGCATAGAAAATCCACAGCCCTCAGCCTTGCGCAGTGGCTCACGCCTGTAATCCCAGCATTTTGGGAGGCAAAGGCAAGAGGATTGCCTGAGCTCAGGGACTTGGGACCAGCCGAGCAACATGATGAAACCTTGTCTACAATAAATCAAAAAAGTTAGCTGGGCATCGTGGCGCATGCCTGTAGTTCCAGCTACTTGGATCACCTGAGCCCAGAAGGTGGAGGCAGCGGTGGCCATGGACATGCCACTGCACTCCAGCCTAGGCAACAGAGTCAGTATCCCACGAAATAAAAAAAAAAAGAAAAAACTAAACTAAATCAATATCCCTCATAAAAAAGCAGTCCTTTGAGGGACAAGAAATAATTAAAACAAAAAAAAATGGCAGGGGGAAGGTGCTGTTTCCAGAGATTAGGGAAGCCCTAGAAGAAGGCCCTTTCCTGAAATTCATTCATTCAACAAATATTTATTGAGCACCTAAGTGCCAGGCACTGGGGATACAGGAGAGAACAAGAAAGATAACTCTACTCGCTTGGAGTGAACATTCTAGAACACTTTGGGATTGTGGATGCAATACAAACATAATATTAGTAGCAACAATGATTTATACACATAAGCAAACATGCCAACTCTCAGAAGGGGGTACAAAGAAGATATTTTGTTATAAACACCTATAATTCAAAACTAACTGAAGGCAGTCATATCACAGAAAATTTAGGAATCTGCAACCAATGTGGTAATATCAAAAAGGGAACATTAAAACTACTATAGTGAACAATGTAGAGACACATTAGAGATTAGATAGGGAGGCAACAAAGATTTTATTTTAATGAGAAGGTCTACTGAAGGTCTTGGTTGAAAAAAGAATCCTGCCAAATCCGAGACAGATTTTAAAACTTACTATTTAGAACCACTTCCTTCTGAGTAGGGGAAGGGAGTAGATATTATTAAAGAGCCAAGATAACGGAAAATTCTTTGTACTGTTTAACAAAGTAGATGGCTTTTTTTTTTTTTTTTTTTTTTGAGTTGGAGTCTCACTCTGTCTCCCAGACTGGAGTGCAGTGGCCGCTCCCCGCCACCGCAGCCTCGCCTGCTGGGCGCTGGCGATCCTTCCGCCTCAGCCTTCCAAGTAGCCGGAATTACAGGCATGCGCTACCATGTCCAGCTGATTTTTTCATTTATTGTAGAGATGAGGTCTCACCAAGTTGCCCATGCGGGTCTCGAACCCGTGGGCTCAAGCAATCCACTCACCCAGCCTCCCAAAGGCGCGGGATTACAGGCTGAGCCACGGAGCCGGCTAGATGGCTGTTATTTTTTTTTCTTTCTTTCTTGAGTTGGAGTCTCACTCTGTCACCCAGACTGGAGTGCAGTGGCCACTCCCTGCCACCACAGCCTCGACCTGCTGGGCTCTCCGGGCGATCCTTCCGCCTCAGCCTTCCGAGTAGCCGGAATTACAGGCACGCGCTACCACGCCCGGCTAATTTTTTGATTTATTGTAGAGATGGGGATCTCGCCTGCCCAGGCGGGTCTCGAACCCCCGGGCTCAGGCAATCCACTCACCTCAGCCTCCCAAAGGGGCGGGATTACAGGCTGAGCCACCGAGCCCGGCTAGATGGCTATTTTTAATTCACTGAGCACTTTGCTAGTTATTGAAGAGGTTAAACATTGGAGTTTGTAAATAGGGATTAGGAAATTGCTCTAATCTGAGAAGAAAGTGAACAAAAAGACAAAAGAAAAAGAGGTAACAGTGTAGTTGGTGCTATAAGGGCAGCTGGATTTGTTTTTAAAAAAGAAGCTGCTGGGCTCGGTGGCTCAGCCTGTAATCCTGTGCTTTGGGGGTGAGTGGATTGCCTGAGCCCGCGGGTTCGAGACCCGCCTGGGCAACTTGGCGAGACCTCATCTCTACGATAGATCAAAAAATTAGCCGGACGTGGTACTTGGAAGGCTGAGGTGAAAGGATCACTGGAGCCCCGCAGGTCGAGGCTGCAATGGCCGGGAGCAGCCACTACACTCCAGTCTGGGCGACTGAGTGAGACTGCAACTCAAAAAAAAAAAAAAAAAAAAAGGCAGGGCACAGTGGCTCACACCATAACCACAGCACTTTGGGAGGGCATGGTGAGGGGATTGTTTGAGCCCATGGGTTCAAGACCAGCCTGGGCAACTTGGTGAGACCTCATCTCTACGATAAATAAAAAAATTAGCTGAGCATGGTGGCACTTGCCTGTAGTTCCAGCTACTTGGAAGGCTGAGGTTGAAGAATCACCTGAACCCAGCAGGTCGAAGCTATGGTGGCCATGAGCATGCCACTGCACTCCAGCCTGGGCAACAGAGTGAGACTCCGACTCAAAAAAGAAAAAGAAAAAAGAAACCTTTTTGTCAGTAGAGAACTTTCACAAGCTCTCACCACATCAACCCAAAGTCTGTGATTCAGCCAATATTCTCTGCCTTTCTTCCAGTTATTGTAACCTAACAAAACTTGCTCATATCAGAAGCGAAATCCCCAACCTGTGCACTAACTCAATTTCATCTACTCAAGGACATCACTCCAGTGAGGCTCCCTTCTCTCCTACATATGCTGTATCTTTCCCATCACCATATATTCATGCTGCAATTTATCTTAAAAATAGCAAAATATTTGATCTTACCTTTTCCTCCAGCTACTGCCCCATTTCTCAGCCTACTCCTATTTACAGCAAATCTCAGAAGGGTTGTCACGACATGCTGTCTCCAACTTCTCCCATTCTCTCTTGAACCCTCTCCAATTAGGTTTTCCCCAATAACAAGTTGCTAGTAAAGTTTACCAATGACCTTCACCTTGCTAATTCCAATGAAGTTTTCAAGCCACATCTTACACTTTGCAACATGTGACACACTTGGCCACTTCCTCCTCAAAATATTTTCTAACTCTCCATACTCTTCCTAGTTTTCCTTCTCCCTCACAATCACCCATTCTCAATCTCTTTTTTTGTCTCTTGTTCCTCTTTTCCTCAATTCTGAGCACTGGACACTGTTATATTTCCTACTAGCACTCCTTTAGTTATCTGTCTCATTCCATTCATGAGCCGATGACTCCCAAGTGTGTTAATCCAGCCTGGACCCCTCTTTTGAATGCAACTCTATATCCATCTTTCCAGTAGACATCTCCACTTGGATGTCTAATCGGCATTTCAAGTATAATGCTAAAGCCAACCTCCCACTCCTTCTGTAGTCAACTCCATCTCAGTATATAACCGCATCCTTCCAGTTAGGTCAAACACTGGGAGTCATTCTTGACTTCTCTTCCACCTTATAGCAAATCCTATTAGCTCCATCTTCAAGATATAGTGCCATTCATTACCTTGTGTACTTCCAACCTAAGCCACCTTCATCTCTTACCTAAATTATTGTAAAAGCCTCTTTGCCCTTGATGCCTACAATCTATTTCCCACACAGCAGCCCAACTGAACATTTTATTTGTTTATTGAGTTGGAGTCCCACTCTGTCACCTAGGCTGGAGTACATTGTCACGTTCACGACCACCACAGCCTTAACCTGCTGGGTTCAGATAATCATTCTGCCTCAGCCTTCCAAGTAGCTGGAACCACACCTGGATAATTTTTTGATTTATTGTAGAGACGAGGTCTCACCAAGTTGCCCAGGGTAGTTTCGAGCCCCTGGGCTCAGGCAATTATCTCACCTCGGCCTCCCAAAGTGCTGGGATTACAGGTATAAGCCACAGCGTACAGCTTCAACAGAACATTTTAAAACTTAAGTTCGATGTCACTTCTCTGCTCAAAACTTTCCAGCAGTGTCTGTTTCACTTAGTGTTTATACAAGGTCCTACAGAATCTGGCTTTCCACTGCCTCTCTAACCTCATATCTGCTACTCTCCTGACCCCCTTCACTAAATTCCATTCCAGCAACACTGGATTCCTTGCTGTTTTTCAAACATAGCTAGCCTGTTGATCACCCCAGAATCTCTGACATTTCAGATGTTTCCTGGAGTGATCTTATTCCAGCTATTCCCATGGTTTGCTGTGTCACCTCCCTCAGGTCTTTGCTAAAATTTAACCTCATGACACCTTCCCTGGCTACCTTTTTTCCAGTTGCAACTGCCCTACTTTCCTACACACACCATACACACACAAAACCACTGCGCCCACCTCCCTTTCCCTGATTTACATTCTCCAAAGTGCTTTACATCATTAAATATACTATGATTTATTTAGTTGTAAATTCTTTGAAGGCAGAATGCTTGTTTACTGCCATATTCCCATTAGTAAACAGGCCATAACTCTTAGTAGGTACTATTTTCTAAAGCAATAAATGAAAGGCAGGAAAGTGACTGAAAATACTTCGCAGGAAAAGTATAACTAAATTCAATTTTAATTTTTCATCACTGTGGTTTTTAGTTATCTGTTGGTTTTGAGTGCTAATGTGAAATGAAGGCGTTGAAATTAGTTTTAAAAAAAAAAGGTAGCCAGGCACAGTGGCTCATGCCTGTAATCTCAGCACTTTGGGAAAAAAAGGTAAGAGATTGACTGAGCCCACAGGTTCGAGACCAGCCTGGGCAACATGGTGAGACCCTGCCTCTACAATAAATCAAAAAAATGTAGCCAGGCGTGGTAGTGTGCATCTGTAGTTCTAGCTACTTGGAAGGCTGAGGCAGAAGAATCATGTGAACCCAGCAGGCTGAGGCTGCAGTGGCTGTGAGCGTGCCACTGCACTCCAGCCTGAGCAACAGAATGAGTCCAAACAAAAACGTGAATATAAGCGCCTAAAAGAATCCCCAAGATTTAGAAAGGGCTTCAAACATTCTACAGAATATCGAATGGCAGTGATCAAGACAATCTTATTGCGCTCTCCAAGTGTCCAGGAGACTAGGCTATTGTAGGCATTGATCATTAAGATGAAGCCTAGTTCTATATTTAACAAATTTTATAATTGAGACTCTAGTACTCAAACTTCCAGTTTGCACCTCACCTATTCCCAAAGATGACAAACCACACCAGAATTCCTAAACTATCAACTCCCACAGGAACTTGACTTTTTTTTTTCAGAATCAACACAACTCATGATTTATTGTTAAATTTATCTTTCCTTTTAAAGCTTTTAAACTACTACTTTGTGCTACAAATTTGAAGTATCTGAACATAAAAGTCCTTCTTTTTAAGCATGTAATTTACAAGATTTACCTTGTGAATGTGGTTTCATTATGTCCCAGAACAAGGATGAATAGTCACTACCAATTTTCCCAGGCACCATCAAGAATGTTACCAGGAAGCCAGTCTCGGTGGCTCAGTCTGTAATCCCACGCCTTTGGGAGGCTGAGGTGAGTGGATTGCCTGACCCCGCGGGTTCCAGACCCGCCTGGGCAGCGAGACCTCATCT